TTAAATCTATGAGCACTTGATTGAAAAAAAAATCGTAGAAAAAGAACTTTTGGTAAAATGTCTGAACTTTTTATTAGTAATATGTTATGTTATTTTCGCACGAGCAATGATTGGAAACGTCTCAAATATTGTGTTCCTGTGTTTAAATTACAAAAAAAAAAACGTACCGCAAAACGGGGTAACATTGATAGTTTTTAAAAGTATATTCTAAATAATATAAACAGCAATGAATGTTTTTCAATTTTATATTGTTAAAACAAGTACTGAGGATCCAAGAGTCATTTCGTCCGTAATATGTTTAAAGGAAATTAAATAATTTGTACTAACTTTTTAGTTTTGTGACCGAACTTCAGTTTTTTGATTTGGGGTTACTTTGATAATGCTCGATGAATGTAGTAGTTAGTTCTTTAAATATGAAACTTTGAATAAGTATATAATCAGACAACATAATAAGCAATAAGAATACCACATTGAATTTGTGATGGCTATATCGGAAATACATTTCATAAGTGATGGTTTGAGTGCTTTTTAAAACAGGCGAAAAACACTCAAATTGATTTTTAGTATGTTTGTAAAATATGTAACACATACTACATAAAAACTTTACACAATATCAACGAAAATACCCTAAACCACAATATGGAACCAATGTTTCTAATTTGGAAAAAGCGCAACGAGTAAATTTAATCTTTTCATTATACTATTATACTATCAAAGTTAACCGCATTATCAAAGATATACCCCGTTTAACGGTAATAAGTTCATCATAAGTTCTTGTTTTACGGTTTTTGATAATTTAAAATAAAAATCAAAAGTTGAACAAGGACATTTTGAGACATTTGGTTGTTAAACAATTTTTTATTTTATTTCTGAAAATTACTTTAAAAAATACCGTTTATATTTTTTTTTTCAAAAAGGCATTAATTTTCTCTACAACTTTGTATCAGACGTCATTTCGATCAGTGACGTTTACGTGCTACAAAATTTTGAAAAATGTCAAAAACGCCATTTAAAAAAAAATCTCAAGATTCAGAATGGCTAAATTTTAGCAAAAATGTGAATGATTGCCCATAACAAAAAAATATTCAAAGCTTCATTTTTGGGAAGGTCAAGTTTTCCGATTCGTCATTTGGCGTGGACTGGCTCAATGGACACTTCAAAATTGTTCAAAACTGTAGACCTAATATTGAACTTTTTTCCACAAATAGGGTTTTTGATCTAATTTCCGTCCTACTAAGCACAACGCGCACTTAACCTCTTATTTCTGAACGAGTTTTAACTAAAAATTGAATGTTTCTGTGAAAGATGACTTCTAAATTTATTCACCTTTCCATACGTACCGTTAGATTTGATAAAGAGTCACAAATTGTTGAGATATTGTTTAAAATCTAATACTGCTTCTTGATTCTAAATTCGTTCTACGAGTTTCAATTCCGTCCAAACGCATTGAAACGCCATTAGATTTTCTTCGTCCTACGGATAAACGTAGAAAAAGGGGATTCGCTAGGAGCGCTTCTTTTGTTTTGAGAACAATGAGCGTAAATATTCATACAATGCGCTCTAACAGGATTTATGTTTTAGCTAATGAACTAACGCATCAGAACAAACCTATTATTGATTTGTAAACGGTGAAGTCATTGATATTATTGATCTTTTCTGATCGATAGAACGAAAATGGGCGATTACGACGAAGTAGCGCTCTACCCTAATTGTTATTGATTTTTATTCAGAAAACCAGATAATTGTTTCCTATGCGCAAATCACATAAATACTAAAAGTTTATGTTCTACGATTTCGTCAACTTTGAAGTGTCCATAGCATTTTTGAAAAGTTTTCAAATAAATTCAGAAATTACAGTTTTGTTATTGAAGTTTTTATTAATTTTTTTTATTTCTCGTTTTTGACGTAAACTTGCGATATATTTTTCAGTATGTTTTTCAAAAGAGGCAGTCAAGTTTCCTGTTACTTTGTTACAGACGTCATCTCGACTAGATGAGCCGTTTTCCTGCTATGATTTATTTGAAAATATTGAATATGCCATTTTGAAAAATTGGGCGTGAGTTAATATTGTTTTTTTTTCGCTATTCGGCCTGGAACTGCTTATGTATCTTATAAGGAAAAGTCTCAGCTTCCAAATGGCACACAGCAAAAAATAAATTTTAATATTACATCCAAGAGGATGCACTTTAATCATGTCGAAAATCTCATGTAATTTTTATGGCCACAAAAAAAAATGCAGTAAAAGCAGCGTAATTTCAGTTCATGCACTGTATTTATGATAATTTTGTCCTTTTTGGCAAGTAATATTACACCATATTTTTGACACGATTGAAGTGCATTACCAATGTTTTAGAGTTTGCATTAGTGATTGAATATGATTTAAAACACTATGAATCGTATCTCTAGTTCATTAACCCCATGGTGGCATTCTGTTACTACTGAAAAAATATCATTTAAGCTTACCAGGGTTCCTTCCACTCACTTGCTATAAAACATGATTTTCGAAATTTTTAAATCATTATATGTTGTAATGATATTTTGTACTTTTTAGATACAAGAACAGGTTGAAAGGCAAGTATTTGACACATTTAACCTGTCAATTTTGCTTTCGAAGCGTCATAATCAGCGATTTTATGATTCGTGAGCGTTCACTCAGAGTGAGCGCTCGCGAGTCGTAAAATCGCTGATTGTGACTATCTGACAGCGAATTTGACAGAATTCATGTGTCAAACACTTGCCTTTCAACCTCTTCTTGTATCTAACCAGTACAAAATATAATTATAACATCTAATGGTTCCAAAATTCCGAAAACCCTTTTTTAAGCAAATGAGTGGAAGCAACCCTGAAGCTTGCATATGATTTTATTTGATATATGCGTTCTCAATTTCAATCACTCCCTTGGGAAATTATGTTGATTAAAATAGAAAAACTTTCACCGATATCTAATTGATTATATTCAACATAATTAATACCTATCACCCACACTGGCACATATACAGTTACAAGATATAAATAATAGGTAAACGCCTAATTCATCTAGATGTTTTGTTGTCAGCATTTCACCAGTTCCAGGACAGAACAATAAATAAGTCAAGCAAAAGTCTGATTGCTTTGTATATACCTACGTCTTGTATGACCCAATAAAAAAATTCAAATTGTGGCTTGTAGTGTGTATAGGGTTAACTACCCCATTTCCGGCCTATTAAGCACAACCTGCATTTAGTCTTTCTTAATCAAGCGCAGTTTAGCACCAAACGGAATGTTATTATTACTGATGGCTTCCAAATTTATTTACCTTTCCGTACTACCGTAAGATTTTAAAAAGAGAAACAAATCGTTGAGATATAGTCTAAAGTCTAACACTGCTTCTTGACGCCAAACTCGGCCTACGGATTCTAAACTCGGCCTAACGCATTGAAACGCCATTGGAACGACAATGAATTCACTTCGTCCTATCGGATGAAGATACAAAATGATTCGGTCGGAGCGCTTCTTTTGTTTTTGGGAGTTATGGGTGCAAACATTGATATGACGCGTTCTCATTGACTTCGTTCGGTAGCTTATTAACTAAAGTATCGTACCAAACGCATAATTGACTTGTTAAATCTGAAATCATGGATTTATTTGAAGTTTTCTGCTCGATAGGCCCAAAATGGGCGATTAGGCTACCCTATCATACATCAGTCGCTGTAGAAGCTTTGAAGCTCCAATCTAAAAATACACTCACGCATCACGTGTCCAGGACTCAGGATGCTTTCTCTGCCTTGCCCCGTCTATTTCGTGAACGTATTGGTGATATATGAGATTGAAATGCTAGGTAAAGCAAAAAGAGAGATAAGCCCAAAAGTAGTAGCGGATGCAATGCTATCCAGATCGTAGGTTTAGTGTTTACAATTACAACCATCGTCTACGCGAAATTTCATTTGATTTGTTGAAGTAATTTGTGAGAATTAGTTTTTTTAAAGATGGATCAAGATATAATTCAACCTCTTGTGCTAGAAACGCGTAAGTAGTGTTTTATCGGTCGTTTTAATGAGGATGATGGTAAGCAATCCATCCGAATGCCTAAAAACGGTGGCCATCGCAACAGTGGACAGTGGACAGTATACAAAACAGTGAATGATACTCAAAATGAAATCAAAACCTTTTTCACTGGAGTTTATGGATGTTTGGAGACTTATTAGAACAGTTTTAGATGGGACTAGGAAGTATGATAATTCTATAAACTCATGTTCGACGTGTGATGCTGACCCACTCACACTCGAACGACATGAGAATTGTTATTGTTAGTATGTGTAGTATTGATAACTTTAATCGTGTTATTACCAAAAAGGCTTGTGGAAGATTTTTCTCAACGTTCGCAATATTAATTTGAAAAAAAAAACCCTTAAATATGCGTCCTTCAATTAGATGTGCACCGTCGAACCGGTATCAATGTCCATACAAACATCAACACTTTTCTGCCATTAACGACAGAAATGCATTTATACTTCTAAATAGAACTAGGAAAAAAGGTGTGTCTCGTCGAGCCGGTTTCTTCATCGGACTAAACCGGTAAGTGCTATGTGGATGTTTGTATATATGTAGAGGTATTATCAAACGAACAGCTTTACGTAAGCTTTCCTACCGCCAAGTTGTAAACAATCCGGTGAATTAAAAATAACAACATGACCGGTGCCATCAGCTATTTAGCTCACATATAGGTCCCATAGCGTGACGTTAACGGGGACCAAATCTTTCGCCGTGGTGCTTTTTGTTTGTCGTCTCTTGTAGGATATACGTGACGTGAAATGAATGTTATTCTTACAGTTTGCCGTTTCTAAGTAATTTGTCTTCGACTGAACATGGACAATTAATACCTTCTTTGGTCAAATTGTACTCTCCTACCTTGATTGTTAGGTGTACAATATCAGCAGTCTATGGGAGAAATGCGATGATTTTCACAGTATTTAGTTGGGTTCCATACATCAATAATCCAAGTGCGTTCGTTTTATTCACAGCGGCTCACATGCGAAGAGCCTCGGCGGAACTAGCGGAAAGACGACGAGCATCACTAGGAGCCAGCCGAGGGCTGAGACCAGACGGTACACTAGATCCGTATCACGCGGCAATTCTATTCCGAGATTCACGAGGGGTAAGTACCACTTCGAACCAATGTGTTATGATTTTTTTTTGTACCCACGAATGATGTCACTCTAGCCCACCGTGTTCAGCACGGCATATGCTGTTTGTGTAGTCTACCTATCGGGCGGATTGGCAATCGTGAAGTATTGAACACTGCCTGCGGGCGTCACCTTCAGTGTGACTTGATGTCGTAGGGGAAAGGGGATAAGATGGTCATATGGGACAAGACGATCATCGTCTCTAAACCACAATTTTTGACAGTTTGTGATAGAAATGTGTGTAAACCACTTCGCTAGTATGTTCCCATGCTGCGATTCATGTTACATAATGTTATTGTCTGGAGGTACCACATTCAAATTTGCTTTTAATAAATTATGTTATGAAGATTCAAAAATCGGATACTGAGGTGGCCGTAACTTAAATCTACCTGTGCACTACCCTAATAAAAATAACCATAAAAGAGAGCTGAACGACCTGTTCGGGGTATCATCCAAACCATTTGTGGTATAGTTTACCCATCCGGGATACAGTTCGTTCATGGTTTTTGTTTATTAGGGTAACTCTCAAAACACAAACAATTATCAAAATATTGCTTGAAATGGCTAGCTATCAAGTAAACTAAAAGACAATGTCAATTTATCAATCGATTTGAGTTTTAATATGGCATTATATCTGGTTTTTAAAATTGGTCCACAGATAAAAAGTGACGTTACGCAACGCCACTAGAATTGAACATTATGAGCACCACCGATGTATAAGGGTAACAATGTCTAAATTTCATTCTATACACAACAATACAACACAATAATTGTGCCTGAAAAATTGAAGTTTCCTTTTGATCTTTAATCGAATTTGAACAAGTTTGTATGATTGTTCTTCAAGCATAGAATTATAGCTCAACCCTTGAAGCTTCTGTAGGATTGTGGAAGGAATTATTTTCTGATCATAATTATGGAATTTTATTCTAGTTTCGTTAAGGTGGCCATCTTGCCCCTAGCCTGCCTTCCTATATCGAATGAAGTTGAAAACAACTTGGTACAAGTGCCTTTTATAAACAACCGAGAGTGCAGTTGCGTTCCGCATCCCACGTTTAGCTTCGACCGACTTGTAATGTTTATGTGCTTGTTTACCAATGGACTTAAGTTGTTTACAGCCGACACAAGAAGCGATTGCTTGCGATAGGGCAGTGATGCACTTCGTACTACTCTTGTTCAAACTGTCACATATGGCCTTGACTTTTTCGCTAGTGTCTAGAATAACGTTAATCGGTTTACGGTAACTTGAATTACCATACTGGGTATTACATCGACACTGGGCAAGTGGGTCTGAGTCGCACAGGGAACAATTACTTTTTCGCCATGTCTCGAGAATGAAAACTCGCCTAATCAAACCATCAACATCATCGTGTGGGGAGAGAGTCCCTCTACCCGATGGAATTGGTAGCTTATGTAGATAAATTTTAATTTAGGGGAATTCGAGGTAAGACCGTTGAAAATATACACATTTTTTTGACAAATCGTTTTGACAATTGAATAAGGGTGTCATTATTGATCGCACAAGATAAAAATGTTCAGAAACATGTCCTTAGACCCGACCTACACGTAAAACAATGCTCTCTAACATTCAATGTAAGGGTGGATTTATTACAAGCAAGTTTTCCCAGAATGCATATTTTTGTATAAAACCTTCACGATATGATTTTCTAGACGCAATGCATTTAGGAAGCAAAGTTTGTTCAAAAATTAAGCTAACATAAAAATGACAAAAAAATTTTAAAAGCCTTCCGGAGACCACATTAAAGAATATGTCCATATCGTGAAACATTGCAAATTCTGCATACCTTTCATGCAAATCTGTAATATAACCTTACATGTCCCGGTTGAGTGTAGGATTTACTCAGTTTTTACGAAAATACTCTAGGAAACATTGGGGTTGTCCCTGGTTTTCCGGTCCCTTAGTGTCACCCTGATTCCAAAAATACCCATATTGTGGGGTAATTGATAGTATTTTTCAGTTTTTCTCTAACCGGAAGCCGCCATCTAGCACTTCAAAATGGCGTCAGACAAGGGTGCTTCCACTCATTTACTATAAAAAATGATTTTCGGAATTTTGAAATCATTGGATATTATAATGATATTTTGGATTGTACGACTTTTCCCCGAAAACCAGTCCCCCGAAAACACTTTTCCCGAAAGTTATTGCCCCGAATGTAACTTTTCCCCGAAATACAATTCCCCGAAATACAATTCTCCGAAATACAATTCCCCGAATGGCACAGTTCCCAGAAAATAATTTCCCCGAATGTGCCATTTCCCCGAATCTGCGCATCTTCGCTGGTTAACTACTTGTATCGAACAATACCACAATAAACATATTAATGTGCGTCGAATAAAGACAATAGTTTGACTTTCGTTAAAACAAAATGTAAAGGTCAAGCTCTTGAAATCGGTGTAATCCTATTTCAGCAGCTTTTGACCTTTCCATGTAGTTTTAACGAAAGTCAAACTTTTGTCTTTATTCAACACATATTGATTTCTTCGTGCTCCATACAATTTTAGATTCACCCTATAAGGAGTCGCCATGTGACTAATATGTATGGCATGGGGACGCATGATATCTTTTCTTTGTTTGTATGGAGTTTTTTTTTAACGGTCGTACCTATCAAACAAACACACACATTGTATGCAATTAGCTCCATGGATCATACCATATTATACGTCAAAGAATGAACTATGATTCAAAGAAGGAAAATTTCTTGCGACAAGCAAAATTTTCCCTTCTTTGTACCCCACACGGTAAGAAATATTGTCAATACTTAAAAGTATTGACAATAATATTGATGATGTGAATACAGATATATTGTCAATACCGATGTATTGACGTCAATATAAAATGCATTGACAATACGATTATTGTCAATACAAACAGTCGTGTAGAGTCCACTTTAATTCGACACACATTGATATGTGTATTGTGGTATTGTTCGATACAAGTAGTTAACCAGCGAAAGATTTGATGAAACTGACACAATTTTCCCTTCTTTATATCAAAGCTCAGTCTTTATGCTCATTACAATCAGATATCAATTTGATAAACCGAAAAATGTCATAACAAGTCATAACCACAAACTTTATCTAGGGTGTTGAACGACTTTGTTCTGTTTATCAATATTCAGCAAAGATATTTTTCTCAATTTCATATAGATAAGTTGTAACAAACCCAAGGATCATATTTAAATAGATCGCACAGTGTAAATTGTATCATTCGGGGAACTAGTTCTTTCGGGGAAATAGTTTTCGGGAAAACGTTCCTTTCGGGGAACTGGTTCATTCGGGGAATCGTATTTCGGGGATAAAACGTTCGAGGAAAGTGTTTCCGGGGAACTGGTTTTCGGGGAAAAGTCGTGCAGTCATATTTTGTACTTGCTATATACAAGAACAGCTTGAAAGCACAGAACAGAAGTGGAACTTCGGATCAGAAAGTGGCTCCACTTGTCATTTGCGAACACTGGGGTACCTAGCGATAGAAGGCATCTTCTGCCTGCAATTAAGATAGGCAGCATGCTATGATAGTGTGAGTGCACATAGAAGCCCGTGTGGAACGCTATCACAACGCATCGCTTGTTAAGCAGAAAAACGAACCACTTTTTGATTCACCGACTTGTTTTCACTTCCCCTTCTGTTCTGTGTTAAAAGGCATGTATTTGACACATAAAACCTGCTAAATTCGCTTTCAGATAGTCACAATCAGCGATTTTACAACTCGCGAGCGCTCACTCTGAGTGAACGCACACGAATCATAAAATCGTTGATTGTGACACTCTGAAAGCGAAATTGACAAATTTCATATGTCAAACACATACTTTACAAACTCTTTTTTTAACTTACAAGTACAACATATCACAATAACATCTAATGATTTCATGAGAGTGGAAGCAACCCTGGTTTCCGGTCCACGATTCCAAAATTACCCATACTGTGGGTATTTGACAGAATATCCATGTTTTACTCTTATAGTAAGCCATCATTTTCAATTTCAAAATGGCGATATACATATATTTCCGGAGTCTATATCCCGATTCCAAAAATACCCATAATTTGTGGTATTTGGCTGTGTTTACAGTTTTCCTGTATCCGGAAGCCGGCATCTTGAATTTCAAAAAGGCGTCAATAATTAGTTTCCAGTTCTTAAACGTCACCTCGATTCCACAATACCCATATTGTGTTTTTCTTTAACCGGAAGCCGCCATATTGGATATCAAAATGTCGTCAGACATGGGTTTCCGGTCTCTAAACGTCACCAAGATTCTAGAAATACCCATATTGTGAATTGTTTGACAGTATTTCCCAGTTTTTCTGCAACCGGAAACGGTCATCTTGGATTTCAAAATGGCGTCAGGTATAGATTTTTGGTCCCTACACGTCACCCAGATTTCAAAAATATTCATATTGTGGGGTATTTTACAGTATTTTTCAGTTTTTTTTTTCTAATCGGCAGGTGCCATCTTTTATATATCAAAATGGATTTAGACATGGATTTTTGGTCCCTACACGTCATCCCGAATCCAAAAATACCCATATTGTGGGGTATTTGACAGTATTTTTCAGTTTTTCTCTAACCGGAAGCCGCCATTTTGGATATTAAAATGGCGTCAAACATGGTTTCCCATTCGCTACACGTAAGCACGATTCCAAGAATACCCATATTGAAGGGAATTTGACAAAATCTCCCAGTTTGTCTGTAACAGGAACCGTCCATCTTGGATTTCAAAGTGGCGTCTGACTTAGATTTCTGGTCCCTACACGTCACCCATATTTCAAAAATACTCGTAATGTGAATTGTTTGACAGTATTTCCCAGTTTTTCTGTAACCAGAAGTATACCCTAATAAAAAAAATAGCAAACGAACTATATCCCGGATAGGTAAACTATCCCACAAATGGTTTGGATGATACCCCGAACACGTCGTTAAGCTCCCTTTTATGGTTATTTTTATAAGGGAAATCCCATA